TACCTTAATATTTAACTTATAAATATATGTACATAGACCTATATCCCTATCATTATATATAAATATATTTACATATGTACATGCCTGTATTTAGACCTCTATAAGTGACCATTGCCTCCTAGTTTCTTTCCTCTATTTCCTTTTACCTTCCTCTTGTCCCACTATCATGTCTGGCCTTAATTCCAGTTTCAATAATTCCTCTCAGCTACATTGCCCTTGATCAAGCCCCACCAGGCATCCTACACCCTCCTCGCCATCAATTTTATACCACTTGTTGTTCCCTTGTCTCTAGGTTTGTTACCTCCTTTCTTTCCCCTGCCTCCCTCTCTCCCATGTTTCCCTGGAACCATTGATCCTGTTGTTTTCTCCTCCAGATTATTTATCCCTCCTGTTTTATCTAAATAGACATGCAGAGACAATAATAAGCACACAAAAAAACAAGACAAAAGAAAACAAAAAACAAAATAACAAAAACCAATGACAAAAAGAAAAGCCTATAAATAGTTACAGATCTGTTTGCTGACCTTTAGGAGTGTTTTCCAGTCCAGTCTGATGGTGTGCCATGCCCTGGTCCCAAAGTCTATTTTTGGTATTCCCCGGGGCCTTCGTTGCTTTGCTCCCCTTGCTGCTCTGTTGCAAACCTTTAGTGTTTTGTCCTGGTGTGGTGGGGTCAGATCGGGCACAATTCCCACACTGTGTCTCCAGTGTTGTCCCCCATAGTGCTATGGGTCAGTGAGGGACATCCTCGTTCATGGTAGGGCCTGCCCTATGGTCCTCTCTGTGCATTGTCTGCTCTGAGCAGGAATATCGTCCTCAGGGCTTGGTGGGCCAGGTTGTGTTCCACTCTCTCTCCTTCCCTCTTTGTTTGTTCCTGTGTGCTCTGATCAAAAGTGCCCCTCTTCCCGAGCTCCAGCTTCAAAGCTGTCGTCTGAAGTGCATTCTTCTCTGGGGTGGGGTGGGGTGGAGGTACATCCAAGTGGTTGGGATTGGGGCCGGCCCCACAGACCTCTCTATTAGATTGCTGTTTTATGCCGGTATGTTGACAAACCAGGTTGAAGTCTGGTCCCTCTCTCCCTCTCCTGTGGAGATATAAACAATACCCTCCCCTTGGGTGGGTTAGTGTCCTGAGAACCAGAGTTTTCAATATTAGAAACATTCCTTGGTAAAGGACAATTTTACATATTAGAACTTCATCTCCACAGATGTAGCTAACAATTTTGAGATCCACCATGTGCCACATATTTTGTTAAATGAATCTCTACATAACATCATATCTACTCCTTAAAATAATGCTTCCAGATAAGCAAATTGGGGATCAGTAAATTTTAGCTCATATTCACACAGTTGCCACCTTTGGCCAGAAACAGAGCTGAACTTTAGATACCAATTGTCTGCTAGGTCCAGGGCTTGTCGCCGGGTGGGCTTTCCTATTCTTTCCAATTTAGGTTGGAACCTGGGATTAATATTTAATGGAAAAATTTTTTGACTATGTAAGAGTCTTACTGTTTAGTGTTTATAAATAAACTCTAGTTCAGCGGTTCTCAGCCTGTGGGTGGCGACCTCTTTGGGGATCGGAATGACCCTTTCACAGGGGTTCCCCAATTCATAACAGTAGCAAAATGACAGATATGAAGTAGCAACAAAAATAATTTTATGGTTGGGGGGTCACCACAACATGAGGGACTGTATTAAAGGGTCACAGCATTAGGAAGGTAGAGAACCACTGCTCTAGTTGATTCCAACTCGTAGTTACTCGATAAAGGGTAAATGGGAGTCGATAGCCTCATCTTTCTCCTGAGGATTGGCAGCTGAATTTGAACCACTAACCTTGCAGTTAGCAGTCCAATGCTTAGCTACAAGCCCACCAGGACTCTTTTTAAATAAATAGATTTGTTTTCCAAATATTTTTAGTGCCCTGTCTTTTTATGATTTTAACGATATATTTTTAAAAGAAGTTCATAATTTTGGTCTAATTTGGTTTTTTTCTTTGGGGGATTGTGTTTTTTGTTGTCATACCTACGTACTCTTTGTCCTGTTCAGAGTTACAAAGATCTTTCTCTGCTTCCTTCCAGACCATTTACAATTTTAGGTTTTACATTGAGGTATATGTTTTCTATGGAGGTAATTTCAGTGCATATTGTGAGGGGTAGAATGAAAGTGGGTATGTACTTTCCCCACATGAACAGTGTTTCAGCATCATTTGTTGGAAAAACTATCCTGTCTTCAAATGTATGGGTGGTGCTACTCTGTTTTCTCTACCCTGTTCCAACTATTGATCTATAGTTGTGTTAATACTAACTATACTTTTATCCTTACTTTAACCTTATAATAAGACTTGAAGTTAGAGAGTGTGAAGTCTCCCAACTTTTGACTTATTTTTCACTGTTTTCTTGGTTGTTCTCAGTTCTTTAGTTTTCATTCAGGGACATGGTTTTTATACAGTGCTCAAAAATCAAAAGATAATTTAAAATTGAATGCTGCCAAGCCAGTGTTGAGACCCGTCTATAATCTAGCTTCATCAGGAAGCGAAGCACTCAACACATCAGATCCTATTAGGTCAATAAAAAATTATTGCACCTGCCTTGCACAGTTTGCCAGTTTTCGAAATAAGAAGCATAATTATAATATACTGTAATTGTATTGGGCATGATTATGGCTTTCATTGATATTTCAGCAAGTATTTGGGTCTTAGAGCGTTTGTTGTCATTGTCCTAGCAAAATGGAGCATTGCTGATGGCAAGATGTGTATTCAGTTATATTGCTTCCTTCCCTAATATCTACTCTACATTCGATCTGGCAGATATCTTTCTTCAAACATCTTAAGTGTCCTATTTGAAAATGGTTGCATAGCATTCTGCTGTCTGCCAGGGGTTTTGACCTACGCTTAGTCAACACCACATGATAAAATTTGGAGGAACGCTTAACTAAATATTGGTCAAGTTTAGTTAGGGTCAGCCCCACCCAATCAGTTAGTAAATTAATTTAATCTGAAGAAGGTTATTATTCATTCTTAGAAATGATTCCCCTCTTATTATCAAGACGTTCCATTCCCTATACTTCCAGTTATATAATTTATTCAATATAGTGAGTGATCTACAAAACCTGGATATTACCTTGCACTTAATACAATCTTCCAATAAACTTTATCCCTTTTCATTTTTACATTGCTATCTGCTGGGGACAACAAGGAATAACTGGTAATTAGATGAATTGATTCCTAATCATTACCACCATGTGGCTTTGAGCAAATGCTTTACTCTCCTTGAGCTACATTGTTTCCCTTCATAATGTGAGAGATACAGAACTGTTAGCCCTAAATGGCCCATTCAGTTCTAAAATTATTTGACCGGAAGAGTATATTTAATTAAAATTCATAGCCCCTCTAAAAATAAACAGCAATTCTCAATGGAAACAAAAGAAAACCCCACCACACCGTGGTACATTAAAGGGGAGCTTTTTAAGTCAGGTGGCTGCAGTCTTGCTGAGTCACAGATTGCTAATCCTCCCTGGCTAACTAACCACTTTCACTTAGAAGAGGGCTCTTACCGTAACTAGTCCGGTGACATGTTGTGATCCATGAAACCTCTCAGCTCTGAGCATCCCTAGGACTTCTCAAGTCAAGGAAAGGAGAATGAACTTGAGCCCAAATCGTGGCAAAGGTCCAGAGGACTCTTGAGTTAAAGGCAAGGTTTTCAAATATATTTCCAAAAGCAAATAGTATAGTATTAAAGCCAAGAGGGCTTTCAATGCCTACAGTATCTTTCCTCATGTCAAGGCCCCCCAGAACTACTCTGGTCCTGGTCCACCTAACCACTGACAGAATGAGGAGCTCTCAGATCCAGAAGTTTACCAGGAAATGCAGAATATGGGCCGAGATTAAAAATAATTTGAGCAGATTTATTGAACACTTACTGTGTGCCAGATGCTCTGCCTAGCACTTTTACGCATCAGCTCCTTTCATCTTCACAACCATCTCGAAAACTAGGTTTTATCATCTTCTTGAAAATGAGAAAATGATGCCGAGAGTTTATATTACAAGCTCAAGGTCACGTCATACGAAGTGGCAGAGCTGGGCTTAAGTTCTAGAATTAAATTCTTATGACTACGTCAGAAACTAGTTCTCGTGACTTAGCCAAGACGCTCACAGAGCATTTGGATTTATAGGTGTGCATTAAAATGCTCTAACCCAATATAACCAAGAATGGATGGGTCACTCCAGGGTAGGTTTCCTGAAGAAATTTATTTTGCTATCTTTTTTAAAGGGCAAGAAGTGAAAAACTATATGAATCTAGTAAGAGCAACACAATTACGTGCTGAGGAAACAACACCCAAGCCTACTCAGTGCAGTGCAGTAGCCAGAAATAAAGTTGGTGCCACAGGGGTAAAAATTCAAGAGGTCTCCATTTATTGTGATAAGCGCTGGAGATCCACTCATAATTATTAATCCAGGGAAGGAACCTACTTAAAATGAAATCTAATTTTACAGTCTATCAACAGACTATATAAAATGAATTTGAGTTCAATGCCAAGAGAAAATGTCCTAGCCAAACATATACTTGATACCTAAACAATATTCCATAGTATCATATAGCTTACATTTCTAAGGACCTCTGACCTTAACCTTTCAAGGACAATGCATTTGTGCCCCTAAATTAGGAGACGGAGAAGCAGATTTTGTGTAATTTTCAGCAATAAAAGTGACGAGCCCACTACTGTCAAGCTTACAGCCCAGTATTTCCTGGTCCATCACCGTGGTGCAGTGTGCGTACAATGGAACACACGAACTGTGAATTAAAACCAGGGCTGGGGCAAAGAGAAAGCTCACGAAAATACAGGTGAAGTTGAGTTTAATTGAAGTCTGCTTTCAGATATCAATTGCTGCCCCCATGGGAGGGATAATGTCTTTGGTGAACTGTAGCTGGGTCCTTTCCACTAGAAATCCACCGACGCTACCTCACGGTCTCTCCACGTTTTCTGAAGCATGTGCTTGCTTTCTCTAGTTCCAGAGACCCAATGACTTCTCGCCCCCCTTCCGCTTTGGGACTGTGCCCAATGGCAGCACCGAGAGGAACATCCGCAACAACTACGCAGAAATGCATGCGTACATGGGGAAGTTCAACCAGCGGGGTGTTGACGACGCCTTGCTCTCCCTGAAAACAGGGTAAGTACTACTTCCAAGCTCAGCCTTGGATATGTGTTCTCTCGTTTGTTGAACGCATCCTGAATCAGCTAGCTCTACCAGTGTTCCATGGCAGGGCCACACACCATGAAAGAAGATTTCATTTGCTCCTTAAGAGTTTCCAAGTTAAATTTGGAAGTACCCTCCAAGCCAGGACACAATGGTTTATGCCTATGGATTGTTATAAGTGATTCTCGACTTGCATGAATGTCAGCAGGAAATTGGAATGAAAAGGGATGTAAAAGGAGAAGGAATGAGTCAAAGGTAAGGTTCATGTGTGAAGTACGAAGCAAAACGTGGTGACTAAGAAGTGCAATGATTTGGGTGTCGTCCGGAGAAGGGAGACATGAAAGAAGAAAAGCGTGAACATTTGTAGACATTGAAGAACAGGTTGCTGTATAGACAGCTACAGTTTGTGTGGCTGCAGTGCTATACTCTTGAGGGTATTGGTCCACTAGGAGGGGTTCATGAACTGTGAATGTGTTGTCAGGGATCGCCCAGTCACTGTGGCCCCTTTATTTGACGTCCAGAAAAGATAGACAATCATGAATGTTGAGATTTGGGGATCTTGAAGCTCAGCGTTTCCAAAAATGAGTAATACCACCTCCTGGGAGGGGGTGTGGGTGTTGGAACAATCCAGAGGGAGCTGCCAAAACAGAAATGTATACTTTATCCTGGATTATGGAACCAGTATACAAATTTTTAATTGTCAGGGGAGTGTTGAGTAATTTTTTAATTTTTATTGAGAAGGGGGCGGGAGGCCAAATAACTTTGGGAACTGATGCTGTAGCTGGTTTCCTTTATGATATGACAACTAAGAGCAATGACACCTCTTCCAAACATCCCTGGAGCTCGGGTCTAGAAGAATCTCCTCGAGGCAGGATTCCCTAAAATCCTCATAGACTCAATCTTCTCATTATTAAGTCACAGTAGATTCCACCTTGGAGCTTGGATTTCGGACCACTTTGGATTCCTCTGCCCCCCTAAAACATCCACAGTGCTCAAGCATGTCAGCGCGGTGGCTTTCCGGTGTGCCAGTTTTCCATAGGGCACTCACAACCTGGTGGAAAAGGTTGGATGTCTTCCTATGGCAGAAAAGGGCTGGTGCCTTCTCAACAAGAGATTGAGAGGTGGTTGTTGTACAATATGGCGAAGTCACTAACTACCACTAAATTGTTCATTTGAAAATGGTTAATTTCATGCTATATCCATTTCATCTCAAGGATTAAAATAAATAAATAAATGGAAACACTTAAAAAAGTAAAGGAGATCCATTCTCGCTCGTCTCCACGACATCTGCCTGGCTGACTCGGATTGTTTCCTGTGCACTGGATGTGTTTAAATGTTAGTCTTAAATATGGACTACATGCCTTCCTACTCTGCTGTCTAGTCTGAGTCCCCTCCCTCCTTATTCTTTCAGCATTAAAAAAGGATTTCAAATGAGACACTTAGACCTTTAGGAATGTAAGATCTTGGTTTTACATGCCTTGCTCTGTGCTTCCCGCCCTCCCCCTCCCATCACTCATCTCTGCCTCTGTCCTCCACAGCAGAATACTGACATGTTTCTGACCACAAAAATAGCCTTGCACATCTACTGAAACTCACACACCCACACACCTACACATATCCCCACTCTGGACTCTAATGAACTGAGAAATGAAAAATCTTATAAAGTCTAACCCAGGATATTTGTTGTTTTCTTTGCAGTGGTTACTTTTCATTATTTCTGTTATTATTTTTATTGATTTCTTTTTACTCCTTCTCCTTTTCAGACCCAGTTTATGAGTTGGCTTGAAGCCCAACTTACCTTTCAGCCTCCAACCCTATAAAGTGCAGCCTAGGATTTAGGCTTCGGATTCTGGCAGGGTTCAGGTTTAGGCCCTTGTCTTCTGCCATGGTTGGCCAGAACCCTACTGCTTCATATGAACACAGTAACACAGGTAGTTGTTACTGAAATTCCTCTCTTAGCTTTCGCTCATTTCCTTCTTTCTTGCACAGGAAACTGGATGCTTTCATCTACGATGCAGCAGTGTTGAACTACATGGCAGGCCGAGATGAAGGTTGCAAGCTGGTAACCATTGGCAGTGGGAAGGTCTTTGCTTCCACTGGCTATGGCATTGCCATCCAAAAGGATTCTGGGTGGAAACGCCAGGTGGACCTTGCTATCTTGCAGCTCTTTGGTGATGGTGAGTTGAAGACAGAGAAAGTACCTATTTGACCTTTACAGATAGTCTGTCCAAAACAGTGGTTCTCAACCTTCCTAATGCCACAACCCTTTAATATAGTTCATGTTGTGGTGACCCCCGAACCATAAAATTATTTTTGTTGCTACTTCCTAACTTTAATTTTGCTACTCTTATGAATCAGGCGACCCCTGCGAAAGGGTTGTGTGACCCCTAAAGGGGTCACAACCCACAGGTTGAGAACCGCTGGTCCAAAACATCAGCCCTTCCCTCTTCTCCATCCCTCTAGCCCTAGTACTTCTAGACAGTACATTGTGAGATTTGGGGGGAAGATGGGGCATGGGTTTACAGGAGTTAGCCAAGGAGATATCTTGGGGAATTGCCTCTGTGATAAAAATAAAATAGGAGAGGCTGGCATTAGATGATCAGAAGCAGTCATTGCACATGTAGTTTCAACAGTGGATGGAATTGTGGAATGGTCTTCACCCCTTGTGTTTCCAGAGAAAAGGCAGAAAAATCAATGTGTAGCCATTTACTCATTCTTTCCCCTATCCCATCTTGTTCTTTCAGCTGCAGTAGATTGAGGCAGAGTAGGAGGTGCTGAAACACACTCTCCTGTGTCACACAAGGTTCCTAGGTGGCACAAGCAGTTTGTGTTCAGCTAATAACCCAAAGGTTGGCAGATCAAACCTACTCAGCAGTGCCATGGAAGTGGGGCTTGACAATCTGCTTCCATAAAGATTAAAGCCAAGAAATCCCATTGGAGCTCACGTTACCCTGTCCCATGTGGGGCTGCCACAAGTCAGGATTGACTGAACAGCAATGGCACTCTAAGAGACCTTTGTGGTGCAAACAAGTGCGCAGCTCCTAATGGAATGATTACAGTCCATCCAGAGGTTCTTCAGAAGAAAGGCCTGAGGATCAAATTCCAAACTATAAGCCCTTGGAAACCCTACAGAGCACAATTTGATCTGACACACATGGGGTCACCAAGAGTTGGAATCAACTCAAGGTCAACTGGTTTTGTTGTGTGTTGTGTTCTTTTTTGATTCCTTCCTTCCTTCCTTCCTTCCTTCCTTCCTTCCTTCCTTCCTCCCTCCCTCCCTCCCTCCCTTCCTTCCTCCCTCCCTTCTTTCCTTCCTCCATTCTTAGTGTCACTCTAGCAGCAGGCTGGATAGCCATCTTGCTTTGAGAAAATGGCAGCTCTTCTTTCAATATATTTTTCCTTCTGAGTCCCACTTAAGTTCATGGTCCACAGTACTCACTCCTCCTGTTGGCCTCACAGAAACTAATCCAGTTAGGGATGATGAGCTGCCTGATCTGCTTGGCCCCACAGGCCATCAGCCAAGTGGTTCTCTAAATTATTTATGCAGAATCATTTCTTTTAGGAATGAGATAAGAAGCAGAGAAACCCAGCTGGATTTTCAGTCTTTGGGTGAAGTTGGTTGTGTTGCTGGTTAGGAAAATCATAGTTTGATCAAAGAAATTGCTAAGAAGTTATTTGATTAACATTGTAGAGAAGAGGGATTTGTAGCTGCAGTGTTAACAAGCCATTTCAGAGAGAGAGAGAGAGAGAGAGAGAGAAGGCGCTGTAATTTTAATATAGTACCTATTTGAAAGAAACAACAGAACCTTCATCTATTAGACGGAGCCCTGGTGGTACTTTCAGGTAAGCCTTGGACTGCTAACCACAAGGTCAGTGGTTCAAACCCCATTGGCTCTGCAGAAGAAAGATGATGCTGTCTGTTCCTGGGAAGATTTGCAGCCTTGGAAAAACTGTAGGGCATGAATGAGTTGGAATCAACGAAATGGCAGTGGGTGGTGGTGTTTTTTGTTTAACAGGAGAAGTAACAGTAGGAATGGCTTTCTGAGCTTGCTAAGACACTGGTCAGGTGATACGAAAAAGGTTTAAATTCTTAATCAAACCAGAATCTATTAGAACAGGCAATTTTTCTTCATGAGATTTTCAGAATTTTGCTTGTCTAGCATTAGATGAATTCTAGATCAATCAAGTGGTTTCTTTATTTTTTTTTCTTTTTAACTAGGATTTATGTCTTTGTAATTCATAGAATCCAGTGAAGTGAATAAAGATTATTGAAACTGCATTAGAGATTTAATTTACCAGTACTTTCTTGAAGCAGTGTTAAAAGAGAGTGGATTTGAATATGGTGGGTTTGGGTTTTTTTTAATCCAAGCTTACCCCCCTTTGCTCTTACTATATGTATTTTCAACAGGGGATCAATATAATTTATGACCCTCAGATAACTGAAATTCCTACAGCCTTCCTTTTCCTCCTCCTTTTTCACCTCCCTCTTCTCTCTTCTTTCTTTCTCTCCTATCCCTACCCCCCCCACCCCAGTTCTCTTTTGAAATAAAAACCTACCTTCTCTGTGGCAGCCCCTACATCTATATATCTAGTCCTCCTGCCTTCTGGGTTAAATATGAACAGAGCCAAGTCTTTGTTCCACTGGGATGCTCATCATCACCTCCCCTCCTCTGTCTAACTCATAGCTCACTATCCCCAGGGGTTAAAGTGAAAACCAGAGTTCCTATAAAGTCTTAGGAGGTTGTGGTTAACTCAGGAAGGAAGAGCAGCATCCCAGTAATGGACGGGGATTCTTCCACCAGTAGCAGAAAAGACTTCTCTTTCCACGCCCTGTAGACACACAAAGGGCAGGACATCCCCAAACCCACAGTCTGTCTGTAGTCTCCTCCTTCATCACCCCAGTTTGCTGTGCACAATTTTCAGAGTAGTCTTCTGAGTCACTTCTCTGATCATGTTATCCTCCACTACCTGTAGAACAAGTATAAAGTGCTTAGTCTGATACTTAAGCTCTATGTAAGCCCTCAGCAATCTTATACCGACCTTTTAAATTCTTCTTCTGTCTGGTATTATTCTATTGGAACTGTTCTGCATGCTTGTCCCTAAACAAACCTGTGTGTTCCCACCTCCCTGCCAGCTCTGCTGCCTGAAGCGCCTTTCAGACAATAGAAATTGAAATCCACTCATCTGCCATGCACACCGCCAAATCCTACCTTGCTCATAAAAATCCCACTGGCCACAAAATTACTCTCACTAATTTGAACTCTTGAGCCTGTCATATTTTCTATATATCAATTTACACTGGCTAGATAATGGAGAGCAAAGGTTACGTGACATATCTTTATATCACCGCCAGCGCCCTCAGTAAGTGCTCGCTGTGTACTTGATGAATACACTGGTGCATTAACGGTGTTCTGGTAGTAATAGAGTGCTGTGGACTTTCTGTTTTCTCTTTTTCAGTGGCTCTTTGTTTCTCCCGATCCATGCCATTTCCAATTTCCCTTTCCCTTCCCCCGAATTCCTTTTCCCTTTGTGTCTGCTCCTGACTTCTCGTCTCTCTTTAACAGTTATCCTTCTCTGATCTGTCTCCAGGGGAGATGGAGGAGCTAGAAGCTCTCTGGCTCACTGGCATTTGCCACAATGAGAAGAACGAGGTTATGAGCAGCCAGCTGGACATTGACAACATGGCAGGAGTGTTCTACATGTTGGGAGCGGCCATGGCTCTCAGCCTCATCACCTTCATCTGCGAGCACCTTTTCTATTGGCAATTCCGTCACTGCTTTATGGGTGTCTGTTCTGGCAAGCCTGGCATGGTCTTCTCCATCAGCAGAGTAAGTAGTGCTTGCATTTAGATGGCTAGAGCTTGTGCAGGAGAGCTTAGCCGAGCTGTGGGTAGGGTCCCAGGTACTAACTTCAGCCTGAAGTTGCTAAAGCAAAGGAACACATGATTTACATTTCTCCAGGATGTTGTGTGATCAAATTTCAAGTGGCTTACAAAAATGAGTGGCACTATTTTTCCTTCAAGAAACAGCTTTCAGTGGGGGTTCGGACATTTGGTTCTCAATGAGAACTGGCAGAACTATCAAAGTGGAAAATTTGGCTTTTTCCCAAATGCCTTTCATGGCCATTAGTTAATTCTGTATAGGATTTTCAATTATTTAATCCTTTGAAAAACAACCACATTTATATTTAAACAGAAATATAATCTGTCTCTTTAATTCTAACCTACAGAATCACCATATATACTCAGTTTATACTTGAGTATATAGAGTATATCGTTGATGGTGTCCCAATTATACTTCATATTTTAACCATGTGAGTTGTGCAATGTCAAGGACTTAACAATGTTAAGGCTTAACATTATTATAGCCAGAAATAATTCCTGGTTATAAGATGTATTCATACCAGAAGCTTCTCCAGTCAGAGCAAAAGTATACCCCTTCCATCATTCATTGTTGAGGTTTCTCCTTTGTTCGTATCGCAAAGTGAAACATTAAGAACACAATTTTTAATATGAGTCGAGGGCCGGCCAAAGGGCAGAGTCAGAAAAGATAGCACTCAGTCACCAGAGATGAACTCAAAAGTCCCTGGAGAACAGAGTCCGGGTATAGCCAATATTGACTCCAATCGAGTTATGTTGGAAAATGGACTTCTTGTTCAATCGTTTCATCTTTTGATCATTTTCCTGTAGTATTTTGCTGGTGGAGAATGATTTCTCCATTCCCCTGCTGGCTGTGAGTTGATTCAGGTCATTCAGGAACCCCAGAGTCGGAAGCCAGAATCGTGGTAGCTACAGTCCCAGGGCCACCTGCTTTCGCGGAGTAGCCTTTCCCTAGGTTGCTAACAGAGTGAAGGCAGCAGCAACGGGAGCTAGTGACCTGCTATAGAAATCACATTCACAGCCCTTAAACATTATAAATGTTTCTATAGTTGGGAAACGCTTGGCACTTGCTCCTTGCCATAATCAAGACTTGAGGACTGGGAAAGAAAGTAAGATAACCCTCCTTGGCTGATCTTACATCTGGCTAATGCCTTCTGCGACAATTAGGCTCGCCTCATCTAAACCCCTTTCATCTTTCTCATTTAGCCCCTAGTCTCCTTTATACCCTTCTCTCTCCCCTCCCCCATCCTCATCCATGGAGACAACGTCGGTTTTGAACTGAATCCCCCAAACACGATTCAAACAACTTTCTCCTCCTTCCTTGATAAGGAAGGAAAGCTCCGAGTTTGTCTATGTTTCAATGCAGAGGTACATTGACAATTGTTTGCTTTTACCTTGGAATGGAGCCCAGTGGGGGCTCAAAGAACCTAACCTGCTCCCTCTCCTGGGCCACATCCTTCCAAGTCTTTATACAAGGAGTATATAGGGAGTCCTCAATCACTGTGAATATGTTAAGACATTAATTGTTCAAAGTTATACTAGGTTAGCATTACTAGTTAAGTAGTTATAGTTATACTAGGTTAGTGAGAAAGTATAAATAGGAAAAGTGGAGCTGAAGAGAGAACAAATTAGAGAATTCAAAAGATAATTATTTGTTCCTGTTTAGTGTTTGATATTTGTCCTAATTCTCCCTCTCAAAGTGCAGGACGTAGAGGGTGGGAGCCCAGGGGGTGAGAGAGGACCTTAGGGCTTCCTAATTTTCTCTGCAAATGGGTTCATGCTTAACCCAAGAGAAGAATGACTCAGCTATCATTTAGTGACCAAAATTTTTAAAGCTCCAATTTTTTTAGGGCTATAAAAGAGAGGCGGTATGGACTGCCCAGCTCGCCTGTGCTTTACTGTCAGCCAAGTGGGGGTGGGGGTGGCCTGCCCTAGCCCCCAAGCCTCACCATCCTTAGAGTATTGCCATTGATTTCCAAGAGGCTATCGGCATTTCGGAGGGCTGGTTGATATCATAGCCTCATTCATGTTTTAACATGATACAATTTGCATTTAGGGAGAAGCGCCCACAAAAATGCACTATCTATTCCTTCTTTGTGATTCATGCAGGGTAGCACATGGCCTGTGGTACCCACAAGCCTTTGGTGGGTGTTCTCGGGCCAGAGGGCTTCTCCTTCTGAGAAGCCGAACTGCTGACCACTTTTGTCACTAGGAAGATCCTCGCCAAACATGCTAAGAGAAACGTCAACGTGGACGTTTCATGGCCTCACTTGTGAGATCTGAAACCTGGGCATAGAAAGCGAAACTGAATGTAAATCAGTGATGGAGTCGAGCCACGTGTGGAAGAATGAGCTAAGCTCAGTGTTTCGATCAAGTGTAGGCAGGCTCTCCCCATTGGCCCGAGTCACCTGGAATATCTATATACCCGCTCCGATTGCTTGCCTAAACTTCAGTGGGCCACTGACTTAGAATCTTTCTCTGAAACGTACTCAGTTTAAGGGGATCATCAGGTCAGTTTGTCGGCCTGTCTGTCCCTGAATATGCTGCTCTGTCTACACCATGTTTCCTCTGACTTCTTGTCCTTCGGTTAGCTGAGCTGTAGAAAAGGAGAGTATTCTTGCAGGTCAGTTTTAGTCCCAGGAGAAACCTAATCGGTCCTGTCCCTTTCTGGCTTCAGGGTATCTACAGCTGCATCCATGGAGTGGCCATCGAGGAGCGCCAATCCGTGATGAACTCCCCCACGGCCACCATGAACAACACTCACTCCAATATCCTGCGCCTCCTCCGCACGGCCAAGAACATGGCTAACCTGTCTGGTGTGAACGGCTCCCCTCAGAGCGCCCTAGACTTCATCCGACGCGAGTCCTCGGTCTACGACATCTCTGAGCACCGCCGCAGCTTCACGCACTCGGACTGCAAATCCTACAACAACCCGCCGTGCGAGGAGAACCTCTTCAGCGACTACATCAGCGAGGTGGAGAGAACCTTTGGGAACCTCCAGCTGAAGGACAGCAACGTGTACCAAGACCACTATCACCACCACCACCGCCCGCACAGCATCGGCAGCACCAGCTCCATCGACGGGCTCTACGACTGCGACAACCCGCCCTTCACCACCCAGCCGCGCGCCCTCAGCAAGAAGCCTTTGGACATGGGCGCCCCCTCCTCCAAACACAGCCAGCTCAGCGACCTCTATGGCAAGTTCTCCTTCAAGAACGACCGCTACGGCGGCCACGACGACCTGATCCGCTCCGACGTCTCCGATATCTCCACGCACACGGTCACCTACGGCAACATCGAGGGCAACGCCGCCAAGAGGCGCAAGCAGCAGTACAAGGACAGCCTCAAGAAGCGGCCCGCCTCGGCCAAGTCCCGGCGGGAATTCGACGAGATCGAGCTGGCCTACCGCCGCCGGCCGCCCAGCTCACCAGACCACAAGCGCTACTTCAGGGACAAGGAAGGGCTCCGGGACTTCTACCTGGACCAGTTCCGCCCCAAAGAGAACTCGCCCCACTGGGAGCACGTGGACCTGACCGACATCTACAAGGAGCGCGGGGAGGACTTCAAGCGCGACTCCAGCGGCAGCGGGGCAGGGCCCTGTCCCAACAGGTCGCATCTCAAGGGCGACAAGCACGGCGTGGTCGGCGGGGTGCCAGCGCCTTGGGAGAAGAACCTGACCAACGTGGATTGGGAGGACCGGGCCGGGGGCAACTTCTGCCGCAGCTGCCCCTCGAAGTTGCACAACTACTCCACGATGGTGGCGGGCCAGAACTCGAGCCGGCCGGCGTGCATCCGGTGCGAGGCGTGCAAGAAGGCGGGCAACCTGTATGACATCAGCGAGGACAACTCCCTGCAGGAGCTGGACCCGCCGGCCGCGCCCGTGGCCGTGACGTCAAACGCCTCCACCACCAAGTATCCCCAGAGCCCGACCAACTCCAAGGCCCAGAAGAAGAGCCGGAACAAACTGCGCCGGCAGCACTCCTACGACACCTTCGTGGACCTGCAGAAGGAAGAAGCCGCCTTGGCCCCACGCAGCGTGAGCCTGAAAGACAAGGGTCGGTTCGTGGATGGGAGTCCCTACGCCCACATGTTTGAGATGCCAGCCGGTGAGAGCACCTTCGCCAACAGCAAGCCCTCAGTGCCCGCTGCCGGGCACCACCACAACAACCCCGGCGGTGGCTACATGCTCAGCAAGTCGCTCTACCCCGACCGGGTCACGCAAAACCCTTTCATCCCCACTTTTGGGGATGACCAGTGCTTGCTTCACGGCAGCAAATCCTACTTTTTCAGGCAGCCCTCGGTGGCGGGGGCGCCGAAAGCCCGGCCAGACTTCCGGGCCCTTGTCACCAACAAGCCGGTGGTCTCGGCCCTCCACGGGGCTGTGCCCGCCCGTTTCCAGAAGGACATCTGTATAGGGAACCAGTCCAACCCCTGTGTGCCTAAGAACACAAACCCCAGGGCTTTCAATGGCTCCAGCAACGGGCATGTTTATGAGAAACTTTCCAGTATCGAGTCTGATGTCTGAGTGAGGGAAGAGAGCGGTTAAGGTGGGGATGGGAAGGATAGGACTGTGGATCATGTGGTGGGCATGGCACGGAGGGGGCCAGGGGGTGGATTGGTTCCCACGTGCTCTTTCTTGTTTTACTTTCCTGATGGGATCCTGGAGTTCTGATGCCCACGGGGGGCAACCCTGGTGACCAACACCATCTCCCCTCCCTTTCACGGCTCCCCTTTCCTCATCTGTCAGCCACTCCCATTCCTGTGATAGGATGTGAAATGGGCCCTCTCCGCCTGGGAGGGTGGAGTGGAGGCAGGAAGTGACTGGAGACAGGCTCCCACCCGGCCTGGCCGGGCTCCTTGCTCCTGCTTCGAGTGAAGCGAGGAGAAGCACAGGGAGGCCACGTGAGCCCCGGAGGGGCTCTTCCCCAACCGAGCTTGACATTTTGGCGAGGAAGCAAAACCATCGAAGTTGAACCACGTGCTCACGGATGAAACGGGGCTTCTGCTGAATCCTTGTGGCCTAGATGACCTGTCTGGGGACTGCATGCCCAGCAGCTCTTAGAAGGCTGTGTGTGTTTCTATATCAGCCCAAGCAGGGGGCTCCTTAGCGGTGAACTGCAAGGTCAGGCCTTTGGTGGAGGCTTGAGTAAATTCCTGAGGAATCTAGAAAGGACTTCAAACTAAGAGTGGTAGGAGTGGATGGATGACATGCGCATGCGTGTCCATGTCGATCTGCACAGGTGTGGGGTCAGGTGCCGATAAAAGTATTGATGGCAACCTTGACCAATGGGTTTGTTTCTTTCAATGTCCCTAAACAATTGGTTTGTTTGGGCTGATATACAAACAGAGATGGTCATATGTTATCTGAACTTGGGCTCTCTGCCCTGTCACCCTTCCTGAGTGAGAAGAAAGGGGAGTTTTTAATAAGGAAGATTGTGGTCTAGGGGAAGGGGTGGAGCGGGGAGCAATCCTCCAGGAGTAGATACAAAAATCATCGCTCAGTGACGGTCAGTAGTTTCGGCCATTTGGGTAAAGAATTTTACAGGAAGGCTAAAGGGAAACAGAGCAGCCATGATTCTTTTGCCCACTTCGAGAGCAAAAGATCCTGAGAAGCAATTTTGAGCTTTGCAGACTCTCAGGCAGCTGAGGGCTGGGGAAAAGCTACGTAAGGCTCTGAAGACAGTTTTATGGTAGGGTAAGTGAGAGAGGGGGATGTTTTTAATGCTTTGATCCCTTCTTACTTTACCTGGAGCTGGGAGAGCAGACCCATTCCCCCAGAATTGATTACAACGGGCAGACGGGAATGAGGAGATAAGAGAAACATGAGCTGGCCTCCCACTGGTATCTTAGGAGGCATGTAAGGACAGGGAGACATGGGAGGCGGCCAGGAGGGGAACAGCTTTCCTGCTGCCTTCTTGGGTGTAGCCCCCTGAGAGTGTGGCACTGAACCCTGTGTGAACTCTCCTGAAAGAGCCCTTCCACCTTCCTGCACCACCTCCCTTCCCTCTCGGACCGCACCACTCAAGATGGAGAAAACTCTAGGAATGAGGGTACTGGTCGATGTAATGCTCCCTTCACGTAAAGTTGAAAACTGGAGAAGGGAAATAAATATCAGTCACTGCCTGTCCTGAAACTTGGGGTAGGAGCGTTGTCTGGGTCAGGTCCGCTGTCCTGCTATCCTCCCCTTACACAGGGTAGCATCCAAAGAGCCCGGGGTCTGTTTGGAAGTTTGACGGCAGGATGGCCATGTCCCACACAGGACACACACACCAGAAAGGTGCTCATCCTCCTCTGGAAGGAAGCGGCCATGTCTCTTCAAGTCTCACCCTCCAGGGCTGCTCTCTGCCTTCCTGTTTGCCCCGACCCACTACCCTCCCGCGTGCCACCCTTGACTGCTGTCCCCCACCCTCTTCCTTGATTTGTACCTCAGTATCTTTTGTTTTAAAGCCAACTGAAGGCCTTGTAAAGCTTTGGTTTCTTTTGAAAATGAACCTGGGGGCAAGGGGCTGAACCTCTCACAGATTTGGAGAGAGGATCACAGAGTGCTTTACTGTAGATTCAAGGACAGATGTTGAGAGAGAGCACAGAGGGCTGGAGGCCACACCAGGAGGAAGAAGGAGAAGGGCCATATAAACATTGCTTCTCCCTGACTTTGCCCACGAGTCAGGGGCTCATCCCTCACTCTTCCTCTTACCTCACCCCTTTAAAATAAAATAAAAATAAAAACAACCAAACCAACTAACCTAGCGAACAGCAATCTAGAACAAAGGGGGCTTGTTCAGTCTCCACTGGTGACTGACATCAAGAGGGTGTTTATTTCATATGTAAATATTTTGTTTTTTAATTAATTTTGTATAGATAAAGTGTTCTCTTGTGAGTATTCAGGGTGTTTGGTTGGAGGGAGTGGGGTGGGGATGGGAATGAGGGGGAAAAGTGTTTTGTTATGGGTTTTCATTTTCCATTTGGGGAATTGTTTTGTACGGCTTTTGCTTCAGAGTGTCTGGGAACAGTGAA